AGCAGAATTGTTAGTGGAACACTGATCAATCAACTTTCTCGGTGGTATTGATTACCTAAACTGATACACCACATATTCTCACCAGCTGGCTTGGAAATGGTTGAGCACACATGATTTGCACAATCTACCTTGTGTAAACAGAAGAGAGTAAGTTGTAGACGGAGCTCTATATCGTGAAACATTTTTATTTTGCTTCCATCATCGTTATTTAGGCGTTTGGTGTGGTCCTCACACACACACACACACACACACAGTCGTGAATGGCGTGGGTACAACCGGTCACGTGATCTCATGGTCGATCGACTTGCGTCATCGCATCTGCATCATCACAATTCGTTTCAAAAGCACCCAAAGTTATCTAGCTGGACATCAAATGCACAGAAAAGCACCAGTGTACTTTTTATTCTTTTGCAACTACTTTTCACATGCTCTTCAGCAGTCACTGTGATATACGTACCAGCTTACGTCGATTTAGTCCGCCAGTAAAATATATGTTTGTCTCATCATTCAGAACAGCTTTTCGGTGAGTTCATGTGAATTATGTCTCTGTTACGCCATCTATTGACCGAAGTGGCTTTCCGCCCTCCACAGATAGATTTGGCAAAATACTGAAATTGTAGTGCCGTTCCCCATTCTTCGGAATTCTCATACTATATTTGTGAACGTTATAGTGCTAACAACACAACAATGTCGGTAGAGAATTATATTTGCCGACGTTTCGGTTACCGTGGGTAACCTTTCTCATACGATATTTGTTTAGAAACAGTGCAACAGGGAATAATAAGTGCTATTGAAAAGCTTTTTGAGTCGCTTTAGATTAAAAAAAAATGACAGCATTACGACCATGAGCAGGGATTGGGGTACTTTAAATCCGATTCGTTTCGGTTGCATTACACGGCTGAGGCAACCAGCAGAGGACAAAAAGCTTGCAAGTTCCCGAAAAAAGCACCCGTGGCCAGCCAAAAAAGAATAGATGTAATCAAAACATGCCAAAAGTGGATGAAAGGCAGACAGATTCTAACTCAGGACTGCTGAACTTTTAAACGAAGAATCCCTTAGAATGCCCATCACTCAGTTGAACACTAAAACAATAATTCGTCTTTAGTCGTTTCCTGAATTTTTGCTTAAAATAATTAAAGGTACAAGGGTGTTTCCTGCTTTTGATTATCCACCATACAGTTCCAGGGTCGATGCGATGACTCGAATTACCCGGAGGTCTCGCATGATTGTCATTTATTCTATTGTGGACCTATGAACACTATCGAGATAGGTCCTAGGGTATCATTGCATGTCAAACAACATGATGGTCTTAGAAAGAATCTTCCGTTCTCTAGGAGTTACACATACACTAGATTGTTCTTTTTGCTTAAGCTGGTAATCTTGTTTAGGCGAAAAAATTCAACTGCTCACATTCTACAAAGCTGATTCATTCTGTTGAGAAAGACAGCACACCGTGGCCCTCAATTACATTTACTAGTGTGTAGACATCTCTATGACGACATTTTCTCTTCAACGCTTAAAATTCGACTGGCACTCAATTGGGCGTTGAACGATTATGTTCGCACTGTCCCTCGCATTTCAAAGATATATTAAGGTGATTCTTTCGTCAAACACTAGATTACTGCAAAATGTGTTTCAATAGGAATGCTTCTTAGCTGCCTTCGCTTAAATTCAACTGGTTTGTCTATCCTGCATACACACACTCCTTAGTATGACTCAGGAACAATCAATAAATTACGGTTCAATTCTCATCTAATGTAAATATCAGACAGTGTTCAGCTGCGTCATATATGCCAGTTGCACAGTATCTACTTGATGAACGTTTACCTCCGAGTTCGGTTCATTTCGACAGAAAATACTGTGTAATGATCTATTTACCAAGAGATAAAGCTGTTTGATAGCTATATTTCGAACTCTATATCACCCAAACGTTATCAGTCTGGATTAAAATGAACTAATATTAAGCGACTGAATGTCTCGAGGCACGTGTTTGTTTTGCATAGATCGAAATCCTCCATCAAACCCTTTCTGCGTACCCTCTGGTTTTCATAACAATGACAGATTCCACAAATAGTACTGACTGGGATTTGAACGATAGTGTTTATTCTTGAAGAATTGATGAATAAAGGACTATTTTTAGGATAAATAAACTTGAAAAATCAGCATCTCGTTAAAAAAAGCTAGCCAAAACAGAACAAATGAGAAGTGGTAGATCACCGGTCGATTCCGTCTGACCATAAATAACCCCATAGGGAAAAGAGCTAGTCAGCTTTCCAATATCTAGATTCTAATTTCTAGAGATTTTCAGAAAATCTCTACATGCCTCATTCACTTCGGGTTCCGACAGAAACATTATACCGAGAATTTAGCGTCAGTCCTTTTTCATGCATTGTTTCCGTTTTGATCACAGAGTCAAGGTTACGATTGCAAACTCCTTTTTTCCTGTCTACTTCTTATGAATATTTCATTATAAGTTCCTTGTTTTTCGTGACTGCAAAAGTTGATAGAAAGAAGCCCACCGTACTTGTACAATATATTTCATGATACTGAGGTTATAGGGACAGATATTGGGGATAATGGGAGCGTCGACAAGATGGTTTATTTCCTTAGGAACATGGCAATAAACGAGACTGTTTTCTTAGTAGTAGCATTCTAAATCCTCACTGACGTTTAGAATTTTAAAGCATTTGTCAAAGAACGCTACGCATATTGACTTGGAAACAGGGAGAATGAACCGGTGTCCACTTCTGTCTTTGCACATCGGATAGGAATCAGACATTTGTTCACCATTCTGTCACAGTTATTATTTACTTGTCATGTTCCTCAACATATGTCAAGACAATTATCTTCTCCCTCTGGAACCTGGGCTGGTTTTTCGAAGAAAATAAGTTCAAACTTCCTCACTTGGTAACCATGGCCCTAGCGGTAATGTAGGCCAATGAATATTATTGCAAAATTCAAACATCCACTCATCTGTTTCCCGGAGAAGTTGACTCGGATAGTCCCTCTGTGATCGGTTCAAATTGACCGAAGCGGAGACGAACTTCTTATTTTGCTTTCACATAAAAAGTACGGTGTTGTGTGAATAAAACTAATCGAAAAATATGTTCACTTACAGCTCGTGTTCTGAATATCAAAGTAAAACCGATGAAACTGGTTGGAATCGGATTATCAGCGAACTGATGGATGATCAACGACCGGTCATAAAACGCATAAAGCAATCTGATTAATGGAAAGTGGTGTAAATGTTTTGCCACTTTTTCAATAACTTCTCATCTATACTTTCTCTCTCACCTATACGTCAGTCTTTAAGATTATTTGAGTTTTTTTAATTCAATTTGCAAGTGTTTACTGGTCAACTGACTTCGCAAATCCCTTAATAAACGACATATTTTTGATGAAACCATACTGATGCGAAATCAACTGGGGCAACTCACTAATTGCATGCTTATCTTTCCCATTTTCTCCATAGTTATTCAACTCAAAATCGATACTGAATTTCACGGAACGTCGTGAACGGCAAGATCATTTGGTGGCTATATTTTTTGTAATTTTGAATACCAGCGATCAGGTGTGCGGAAGGATTAATCCGCAAAGTCTGGGTGCACCGAGTTTGGGTCGAGCCACCGGGTTTAGTTACACCACACGACAAAAAGCAGACCACAATTCACCTGGAAAATTAAAATATGATACCCATTTACCATCAGACGATTCTATTCTGTTGGATGAGAACACTTTCTCCATGCCGCGGACTGACAGTGATGTGTAAGTTATTTCTTTTCACGCTTTTATTACAAAAGAGTACGTTCCATTCGATAATTGTGGTAGAGATTTTTTAGTATAAATACATACCATTGAATACATCCAAGGACCGACTTTAAGTCGGTTAGCCTCTTGTAACCATTTCTGAGCACAGTGGTTACACACAGAGGCTAAAAAATCCGGTGAAACTTTACTCTGAGACGCCGCAAGTTTACGGTGGACTGAAAGGGTGACGATGATGTCCGAGGAACGAACAGTTCAAACTTAATATCGTTATATTTATTTCAGTCACCCATGAAAAGCCTAAAATTTAACCACACCAATGCCAAAAGAGACGAAGCGATGATCTCCATCGACGAGACCTTACTGTTCGCCAACATACCGAAACAAATGGGCCTCGAAATAAATTCGACGCCTGTTGCAAAACGACCGAAATCTGCAGTCAAGAAGGGCAATATCCACGGAGAAATCTGTGAAACTCGTCTAGCTCTGGATGGAAGCATACTTCCGATTCGACGAGGAGAAATACCGGCAGGCACGATAATTTCCTAAGGTTCATGACTCTCAGACCTGCTTGCAGATGTGCTTATGGAGCAGTTCGAAACCAAGGTTTTTGCAATACTAAAACCTAGTCTGTGGATACGGTATTTGGACGACACTTTCGTCATACGAGGGCTGGGCAAAAGATTTCTGAATATGCAGTACACGTACGAGTTGCAGATGACGGGCAAGGAAAACGTAAACTGTAATCTATTCTAAATTATGTTCAGTGATTGCAACTCACAGAACCAAATATCGACAGCCGAGCACAGCTCACCTCTCCTAAGGGTTGCTATACTGTGAGGATGGAAATCAGTCGATCAATGAAGGGCTATGATTCTCTACGACTAGAAATGTGATTTAAAGCAACAGCAGAGTATTGATCGTTTGTGAGCTGCCTTTGGGGAGGACGCGCCTCCAAGCTCTGCTTGAGCGTTTTGAGGAATTCAAGAGTGACAGGCGCTCCCTGGATGAGGAGACACGGTGTGGTCCTGCGGGGGGCTACCACATCGGACAACATTGTTGCTGTGCAAGTGATGATGAAGGAAGATACAGAAATGACAGTGATGCGGTTGGCGAAATCCATCGGGATCAATTTGCACCATCCTACATCAGAAGCTCGGCGTCAGAAAATTTAAGCCACGGTTGGGCACCCCATCAGTTCAGTGAGGAGAAGAAAGCAGTTCGGGTGAACTGGTGCTTCCTAGGTTTCCAATGCAGCCTAGGAGAACAGTAGTGTACAGTTTCGACCCAGAGACCAACCCATACAAATTTAAATCGGCCAAAAACTATAGCTTTCCTAATTCACTCCGAATGTTAGTCACAAATTTGGCATCTGGAAACGTTCGATAAACTACAACTTGGGAACTAACTTCGCAACCCGATTTCCGTTGGTGTCATTACCTCAACTAGCATAAGTGCATCATTCAAATGAATACTAGTTCGTTCTGTCTAATGCACGTAGACCTAATCCTTATGAAAGCAATCAAATACACATATCTCACAGGAGTTTAATTAGCGCGTGCATTAAGGGTAAAAAAACAATACAAGCAGAAAGGGGTATTTGTACAACGTTACCCTAGATACGCAACACACGAGAAGTCACCAAACGTATACTGCAACCGTTGGGAATCAAGGTAGCCCATAAAACATTAGCAACTGCGAAATCTTTTCTCTTCAACAGTAAGGATCGAGTCGAGCAGAACGAACGACCAGGTGTAATCTACGCAATTCCATGCATGAGCTGCAATCAACACTAAATAGGTGAGACAGGCAACCGACTACGCACTCACCTACACGAACACAAGCTCGCCATCCGGTGTATTTGCCCGAGGACAAAAATCTGAAACCACTGCGCACGAAGGGATCCAGAGATCGCAATCAATAACGCAAAGGTGTTGGTGCAAGCTAAGAAGAGGGAGGAACGATAAATTCTCGAATCTCGAGGCAAGGAAAAACGACATTTTGCTTCATTGAAAAAACGTCGCAGACTTCAAGCACAATCGGCTTTCGAACCTTAATCCAGCCATATTATTCAGGCCTGTACTGTTCGAACTTCATATCATCAGTCACAACGGATAGAAAATCTTGTGGGGATAGAAGCTCATTTCAGCCTGTTTTTCTATGCGTAACTGTGTTAAAATTAATAAATGTCGTGTCGAAAACAAGATTGTTCACATTTGAGCAAACCTGTCTCTCGCGATCGAAAAGCATTTACCATAGGTAATTTCACACTTGCAGCATTTTTTTAATTGGTGCGAATACCGAAGTAATTTTCTGGATTTAAACAGAACCCAAATTATGCGTGAAAAGCGTTCTCATTCCATGGTTATCGCCATCGCTATTGCCCGTTCATTGAATTTTCGTTTTACTCTCAGGCATATGGTCATTTCTCCCGAGAAACTTTTCCAATTCGGTCTAGTTGAAGTAGAAGACAAACAGATGCCAAAGTATCCGGCCACATTCTTACATGACCTTTCACTTACCGCAAAAGGTTTGAATCGGCACGTGTCCACAGAAACAGCTATGTGCTCTGTTGCTGTACAAACAAACCAACGCAGCGGTAAAACTGTGCATATCGGAAACGAGTTGCAACGTCATTGGTCTATTGGTTCGGTGTGCCGTGCTAAGCTGGATCAGGTTGCAATGTCTGGTTTGGCTTCCAGTGTGAACTTTGTGCGACCCGATAGAATTCGTGGCGAGCGGGGACAATATACAGTCGGTACCGGGATAAACCGTCAAAGAACAGTGGTGTTTGATTCGATGCCCAGTATTGCACTCCCTAGTCTACAATCTTTGGCTTCAATTTGATGCTACCAATTTTTTATACTCTTGTTTGTGATGCTTTGTAAATGGAATGACCAACAAGTACACTAGATATGCGCATATGAATCAACTCCAGGGAAGCTTGCCTCTTATGGTTTAGAAGCATACTTTTCTTATAATCATAAACAATCTTCGTTTTTTATTTTACTTCATCTCATTGAACGTGATACAGCTTTCAGGAAAGGAGAAGCTGCCAATAAACAAACACAATGGGGAAAGTCAAGCGGTGGTCGTGGGATTCGAGCACACGTTCCCAGGGGTGATTGTTCGATATCTTTTATCACTTCATCGCCATGGCCGAAGAGATAAATATGAGCGTATCCTATACTTCTGTTAGATGCACCAGTATTTTTATCCTCAGTAAAAATTCTTCAAACACCTAGAAATGCACTCCCTACTGAATTCAATTCACTGATATACCTCGTGATGTAGTGCCGTGCAAGGGATATCAAACAGAATTAACAACTCTTGGTTGAACGAATTTCATGTCCTTTGAGGCATCTTAGACCTATTTAGTCGTCATTTACCTGGCTGAACTGACTCTAACAGGTTGATGCATGCGATAGCTGTCGCGCCCTGGTGGACTGTTCGACAGACAGGCTGAATCATGCTGATGATAACTGAAAGGTAATAGCCTTTGTGAGACGGCGTACGTAATGCGTAGACTGTCGCTTCTGAGTACAGAAACATACCAACGAATCATATCAAGAAGTCGATTAAAGAGGTGAGCTGGTGCAGTGTTTGACTAGTGAATGTGACACTTCGCCTCTTTTACTTCTCAACACTGCCGAGTATGTGGAGGATATATCTTACATGATCCAGAGTATCTAAAGGAAATACATGGATCCTCGGGTTGTATTCACCATTATATAATGGCCACCAACGACCATGCACCAGCACACTGCTCCTTGCAGTCCATGGTGGATTCTGCACAAATGTAGGTAACGCTGTGGATATCTTTTACATCAAACTCCCATGAAACTTGATGAAAACCATGAAGCTGGCCCATACATTTAGAGGAGCTGGTCGTATTGAAATGAAGTGAGCATAGATCCTCCACCAGACGATGATTTGAATCTTTCGGGTCCCCTGCCTGAAAGTTCGGACACTCCATCCGAAAGTAATGTTTTTATATTTCGCTACAGTATGCCAGGGTTTACCCACTATAGTGCTTCACCTAAGCCCGGCAGAATTTCTGTAAAGGAGCAGGATCAGGAAGCCGTGATACTACTCGAGGTCGACACAGCTTTCGACTACTGCCATCCAAAAAGGTTCAACCACAGGATCCTGATAAGTTCGCAGTACCTTACCTTTCGAAGGCGCAAAGCACAACGTAACAAGTCACCAACTTCCAAGTCGTCTAGTGCGTCTTGTATCGCCTATTTCATGTGACGTAATATCACCAGGCATTTCAAACTGAGCACTCAAAACGAACGTGGCATTTATTCCATGACTCGCTAGTGTAACCGCTTTGCACACGGACAGTTTTGTACCGAACGGTTCTATCAACCGAGGTGACGAGCGATATGCACTTGAACTGTGATATTTTCTATGTAAAAGTAGGTTTTAACCTGATTCCACCTAGTATACAGAATTACAATTGTACTATGCACTAGGTATAACTGATTATAACTGATAATTATCTCAGATAACTACAGAGAAACGAAAGCTCCGAGATACATGAAAAAACTGTTAGACAAATTTCTGATTGCTACTAGCTTAGAATAGATCTGTTTCATCAAACGAGGTTGATGTGAATTATTTCCAATTACTCCACTAGAGCAAGTGATCGACCTCCATAGATTACGTTGGTTGGGACACGTGTTACGTATGTCGCCAGATAGGTTGCCACGGCGAACGATGTTTGCCAAGGCTGGTAGCGATTGGAAAAAGATAAAGGGTGGTCAAACTAAGACCTAGCATGAGGGTATGAAAACCCCAACCAGCAGACCAGGTCACATAGACCCCGTAAGGCTCCCTGGCTGGGGACCTCGGGATGATGGTCACCGATGGTTAGCTACACTGAGTGATATGGCTGGGTGTTGCAAACAGTGGCGCTTGTGCATCCACTCGTTATTCTCCTAACACCACTCTATATGAATTGCCCACCTTCCGCTTGAATTTGCTCGGACATTTTCATCTACATTTTGCTCTTTTATCCAAATGGGGAACAAAAGACAGCAACCAAAACCGGCGCACGAAAGTGCATGGTTAATGGTTGTAAAAACTGAACTGAACAACAAAAAAACATGAATGGTCATTAAAATTGTGATGGATTTCGCTCATTTATTTCCCCACTGATCAGATATTTTATCACATAAGTATAGCAATTACCTTTTCAAAATGAAAATTTGTCTCTGATGCACAGAGAAGTTACTGAAAAGGTGAAACTGTGGTTCTCATTCATCACGAGTTTCACATTTGGCAATAATAGCTTTGAATACGATTGTCGTAGTCATGCTGCACTACGGATTACAACTCGGGTGTCTGAATTCGTTGTCTTTTTCCGTGTGACAAATCCTCAAGATGAACCCTATCTTCGGCAGTAGCTCCCGTGCTAGCATTTAATCATGTCATTTACTTATAAAGACTTGATTTAAATTTCTTTGCATGACACGAAAAAGTGTCATTCATTTTAATAATTTGAGCAATGAACAATAGGAGAGATTCTTCGAAATAAATCAAAAAGAAAAATTCATTTCTCAGATGCCACAGAAATCGGTAGAAAAAATAAAGTAAAGCATAAGCGCCTGTCTTCAAGCTTTTTAACAGAAAGCCGAGGGGTCGATTGGTAGAAGGAAAATAAAATACCGATTTACAGATCAGCAGCTTGAATCTCGATACACGTGGTGCACACCAACATGCCACCAAAACGGACTAGTCGCTGAGCCATTGCTTGCTTTTCTTTCGTGTCTCCAGAAACACTATTTTTCTTAAGTGGATCGTTCATCTCTGAGAGGGAATCGGTTTCCAGATTCAATTTCACCGGAGATGTTTTGGGTTGGATGCAGGGATCCCCACATATGGCACACATTGCTCGCCCGGTGGCTTCACGCGCGTTGGACTGGATCAAAGCTGCGCGTCGCTGGATCAAAGTAACTTCTGTCAGATTTGGTGATGCACAAGACCTATTTGGATTGTCAGATTCATTGGTGATGGTAGGACTCGGAATGCCACTCGGACTTGGAACGGAACGATGCTCATTAGACATTAAATGTTGGTTTTGAAAGTGTTTGACGGCCACGTGAATGGGTACCACATTTAGACCGGTTAGACGTGGAAATATTTGCGCGTAGTTCGGGGAACAGAAATACTGATGTATTGGTCGATGGAGATTGAAACATTGGGTGCTGAGTGAACAAATACGAACAACCGATGGGTAAACAATGATTAGGCAAAATGCCAACTTAGTTGGATCGATTGGCGAAAACTGAGACGCAGCAACCTCACTAATTATTCGTTTATAAGAAAATTGGAAAGCTTTTTATAGTTGATTAGTTTAAATATGAGTATACAGAATCATCTAACCACAAAAGTCAATACGATAAGACGTAATTAGCTTCAATCAACTGCAATGCGTCAAAACGGTTCAAATTGATCAGTCAGTTTCGGCTGAGTCAGTTACTTAATCGGAAGTGAACACACCGTGCAGGTCAATATTATGTCTGTTTTCCTGTCTCTTGTAAACTTTATTCTCCTCAAAATAAAAAGCAAACAAAGTTATGAGATGCACATGACGGCCATGAACATGTTCCCAATTGAGAATCAACGTATTGTACTGAGTTCATTTCAGAGAGGCGTAAAAAGATTACCGTTGCGTATTTTTAAATCACTAATTCTAGATGAGTCCATTTGATACTCACAGATATCCGGCACTGTGGATTTCCTGGCAGGGAGCTTCAATAAATAGAGAAAACGGCTGTTTAATGTTCATTGTCGGCTCCCATACCTTCATTAGTAAATAAGAACACATGTAGAGAATCAATTACTAACGCATTACTAGCTTTATACAGAGATAAAGCTTTGCATTTGTGAAGTGCTAAAAGTAGTCCATTCTGAGTCCAGTAAGAAAGTGGTTATGATCTATGTAAACAAAGACATTGCCGATAAAGGAAGAAGAATACTAGAGAAAAGTCTTCAAGATGAAACAACATACGAGAGAAGTGCATAACTCTGTCCGATTATATGGAGCATTTTATGATGTACAGAGTAAGTAAAGAGCGAAAAAAACCGGGAGGCATTGTGGAACGGTTTCGACCTGCTGGGATCTCCCCAACAGTGCGAATTCACCGACCCAACTGAGGATGAACCTGGGACCTCGCAGGTAGAACACAATCATTACCCATTTTACCACCGCGGAGTTGATCAGACTATTTGTTCAACTGACCTATACATGTAATACCACACTCCACCTTTACAAACTTGTTGTGAACTCCACGCCTAGCTCATCTCAGAATTAGTCTCTCGGGGTATGACTCGGTTGGAAACATTCTGAAACCGACTAACCGAGTCAAATTTAAATCAGCCAACAAAACTATAGCTTTCCTAATTCACCATCACGACGAGACTGCACCTTGATGCCTCCCTGAACCAACGAACTACACAGGATGGCTTTATAAAGCCAGGAGATCTTATCACGCCTGGAAGGTCAATGGGTAGAGGTCAGACAAAGTTCAGTCTCCTGGTCCTCCAAGTTGGGGGTTTGAGTGGAATTTGCGTCTCAGTCGGTAAAAATGGTGGAGGAATAATCGATTCAAGTAAATGGGCCTCGACTCCGCTTCGCCCGCAGCCTTGCGGTTGGGTTCTTGTCAGAACTAAAGGCTTTGGACGAGAACCTTAATTGTTCCCCTGCTTAGTGCCTGGACACCCCACCAGTACCCGTACATCAAACCCAACGTATACACAAAATAAATATAATTCCACAGTGCATCGGTCGTCGCGTAGGATAATCAGGACCGTGCTGCTCAATTCATCGAGTAGGGTGCGTATTGATAAGTGAGCTACTGCTCAGATATCCCAACCTTTGTTTAATTCTTTGTCTTCAGTACCCAACCCGCTCCATTTCCCCTTCTTCCAACCTGTAATATTCGTTCAAGCAACTTGGATCTCGCTCGCCAAATATCACTGTAACTAATGTACCACGAAATAGATTGCGGATTCTGAAGCCTCGTCGATCACTGTATCTTGGAACCTTCAACGTAAGGACCCTGATGTAGGTAGGCGAAGAAGCTTGTCTGGCTCGTACAATGGAATCTTTAGGGATCGATATTTGCTGCGCGAATTCAGGATCCTACTACTATAAGCCTTTTGAGCGCGCCAGATTTTTCTTCGAGATACGTCCTTCGTACATCAGGTGATGATGAAGCCAGCTCAGTAGGTCAGCGCGGGATAGATATTGTACTCAGTAACAGGGCCGAGCCCTCTCTCATCGACTAGATCCCCGTCAATAGTCGTTTATGTGCAGTTCGTCTCCAGGGTCCAATCAGCGTCCGGAAAGGAAGTAACACCAAATGGTGCTTGTTCGTCATATCAGCATATGCACCGACTAATTGCGGTTCTGACACACAAAAGGACGGATGAGCCGAAGCTCCGACATAGTTGTGCTTGCAGGTGACTTCAACATGCAGGTTGGAGAACTGGGCGCATCAGAAGCTTGCCAACGAACAGATAACGGTTATGACTTCTTCAGTTCTGCGCAGACCATCATCTGTTCCTATCAAGCACCAACTTCCGACACAGCTATCGACGGACGGCAAAGTGGCGCTCCAGTTCAACTGGTACGCTAACTCAACTCGACCACATCGCAGTAAGTTACCGTTGGCGTGGCTCAGTGAAAAATTGCAGGTCTTATTGGACCACCTGCGTTGAGTCTGACCACGCATTACTTCTGATACAGTTCACTCTCCGACTGACTGGTCGGCGACAAAACCAGCAAGCTCGGATAGCTCATCAACGACTATCTGTTCCAGCAGTTCATGCACTCTATGAGTTAGAGCTAGTGCGTGAGCTAAGCGCAACTCAACGTGGTGATGTAGACGAGTAGTGGGATCAGACCAGGCGAGCAATACATTCNTGCTTGTGGGTCTGAGCCTCAAACTCATCGGAGGCATTGGATATCTCAGGGGTCAGTAGCCCTGATGGAGCGAAAACGGCAAGTCTCGATCTGCCAGGATAAAAATAGAGTTAGGTGGCAGCTCCAACGTCGGCTCACGAAGAGTCTCAAGAAGGGCCGTGAGAACTGGTGGGCAACATTAGCTAGTGAAATGGAAGCAGCAGCTGCATCAAGGAATAGTCAAAGACTGTCCCGACTGATACGCGATACGGGACGTCGGCGAACTCCAGTTCAGCTGGCCTGCCGCTATACAAGTCACTTCATCTGTGAATGAAGCTCCGTGGGCAGTGTCATGCGATCCTCCAGCAGAAGCAGAAGTTCAGTCTTGCATTTAAACTCTGAAGCAAGGAAAGGCAGTAGAACCGGATGAGCTCTATCCCACTCTCTCCAAGATGAGGGGGGGGGGTGATAACCTCGTAAGCTCTATTACTACCCGATGGCGCAACATTCGGACGCAAGAACACATTCCTTCATCTTGGGGCGTGTCACTAATCGTTCTCATTTTCAAGGAAGTATCTCGCAACGATTGCGAAAACCACCACGGGATAATTTTGATCCCGATCGTCACCAAAGTGCTAACCTCGGTCATACTTTGACGTCGGACGCTTTTTAGAGAGACCAACATCTGTGAACAGTAAGCCGGATTCCGACCTGGCCGTGGAAGTATTGATCAAATTGTTACGTTGCGTCTAACCCACCGCCGACTAACGATCACAGTGCTCCTTGACCTAAAAGGAGCCTTCGACTCAGTTGACTGCGAAGCTCTGATGGGCTCTTTTCTTCGAAAAGAAATGCCCCAGAAATAAGTTACTGAGGTCATCTTACTGGCATACCTGTAGCCATGTAACGGTTTATGCTGAACTAAGTAGGCCATTTGTCACCAACAGCGGCGTTCGTCAAGGGTGCCCTATTTCGCCATTCCTATTCGATTTCTTCTTAGACGAAATACTGGAGAACGCACTTAATGGTCTCCAAAACGTANGAAGGAGCCTTCGACTCAGTTGACTGCGAAGCTCTGATGGGCTCTTTTCTTCGAAAAGAAAGGCCCCAGAAATACGTTAAGTTACTGAGGTCACTGTACTCACAGACCTGTGGTCGTGTAAGGGTCTATGATGAACTAAGTAGGCCATTCGTCACCAGCAGCGGCGTTCGTCAAGGGTGCCCTATTTCGCCAGTCCTATTCAATTTCGTCTTAGACGAAATACTGGAGAACGCACTTAGTGGTCTCCAAAACGTAGGTATTAAATGGGCAGGTGGAGAAAAGTTGTGCAATTTAGAATATGCTGATGACGTCGTCTGTCTGTTCGAATGTATGGAGGACGCGTAAAGTATACTTGATAGATTAACAAGTGCAGTTGCCACATTCGGTATGTGCTTTGTACCTTCAAAGTGCAAAGTAATGTTGCAGGACTGGGTTTCGCCTACTCCTGCTCTGAAACTAAATGGTCAGGAATTAGTTACGGTAGACTGCTTTTCCTACTTAGGTAATTGCGTGACCAATAACAGTAGCGCAGCAAAGGAGACAACCGCCCGCATTTCCAAGGCCCGAACAGTATATGCAGGACTGACACACCTTTGGCGTAGATTCGACGTTTCACTAAAGTTGAAGGGCCCGGGTCTGTCCTCGAGGTATTTCCTTCGCACATCAGGAGACGACAAAGCCCGCTCACTGGATCAGCGTGGGATGAGTATCGTACTAAACGATAAAGCTGAAGCCTGTATGATAGATTGGATACCCATCAATAGTCGTCTGTGCGCAATGAGGCTACAGGTTTCACTTAGTGTTCGGAAAGGTAGCAACACCAAAAGATGTTTATTCATCATTTCCGCGGATGCACCAACCAACTGCAGTCCCGCCTCACAAAAGGAAGAATTTTACGATCAACTCGCCGAACTGATTCGGTTGAGCCGCAACTCTGATATTATAGTGCTGGCAGGTGATTTTAACGCGCAGGTTGGAAAACCGAGCGCACCCGAAGTCTGTCTAGGAGGGCACTTCGCCCTTCCCGCCCAGCGAACAGACAACGGTGATCGACTACTTCAGTTCTGCGCGGATCATCGGCTGTTGTTATCTAGCACCAACTTTCGACACAGCTCTC